CAACCAACATTGAAACATGTTAATATTTTCTTTTCTTTTACTATTATAAAAATAAAAAAATAAACGAAAATATTGCAGTATGGTAAATAATTCATCTAATCTAAATAATAAACATTTAGATCTACTCTATTCATGTATTTACGGGTTTAATATGCTTATAATCTTTTGATCATATTATTTTTTTTATCGGTCTAGATTCATGATTGATAAAAATGTTTTCAATTATATTCAATATTTTAATAAGGTTATATTATTATATAAAAACAAGGGTAATATGATAGAATACATCCAAATAACATTATATTTTTCCCTATGCAAAAAATTAAATTACATTTTAACATTTAACAGAGACTTCATGTCGTAGTGGGCTAAGCTCATTGGTAAAAAATGGCCCAAAGGCCCGAGAACGAACGAAATGTGATCGTCATGTCGTCCGGTTATCAAAAAGGACAAGCCCAAAGAAAAACGAAGAAAATTAAAAAGTGTTGTCTGTCAGAAGTGGGATTTGAACCCACGCCCTCTCTCGAAGACCAGAACTTGAGTCTGGCGCCTTAGACCACTCGGCCATCCTGACGTTTTTGAACCCATTTTTACATAAACAATTAAACCAAAAATTTATTTTTTAACCTAATTTCTGTTAAAAAAAATGTAAAAACATACTCACAAAAATAATATGTCTTAGTTTTGATATATATATGTAAAGTGGGGTGGGGGAGAATGGGGTGAAAATGAAAATGGATGGGGTGAAAATGAAAATGGATAATATAATTTTCGTCTTTAGCCTAGTTTAACAATACAAAGAAATCTACTTTCAGTTCATTCTCATTGTGATGAATGTAAAATTTTTGTATTTTTTGTGGTGCATGCATTATATACGTTGGATGAAAGTCTACATCGGTTAATTTAGGAAATGATAATGAGTTTATTAATCAAGAAATATTCTCTCCAATGGTGTGAGACTTTTTGAGAAGCATAGAGCAAACTTATGAGAACTTATGCTCAAAGTAGACAATATCATACTATTGTGGAGAGTCAGGAATCGAAAATAATTTTTTTCTTTTTTTAAAATAAATTTTGTGAAGCAAAAAGAATGAGTGAGTGTAAGAAAAAGTAATGTGGGGGAGTGGCATCCATCTAATTCTCACCCTTTTCTTTCAACTTTCCCTCACTTTCTTGGGAGAAAAAAAAAAAAAAAAAAAAAATTGGAAAAAAGTGATTGGGCCCAACATATATATTTGAAGCCCACCAACAAAATCACAATCATTCCCTCTCTCTCTCTCTCTCTCTCTCTCTACTTTATTAACCATTTTTTTTCTTTTTTTTTTTCTTTTTTGGGATGAATTTCAACCATCACTTTCCTTCCCATAAAAAGGTTTTCAAACAAAATTAAATATCAAATATAATAAATTCTAATAAATAAATAAATAAATAAATAACATTATACTTTACATAGTATTTCTTTATACACGGTTTACACACATACACTTAACGTGAATAATAAATATTATAAATAAATAAATAAATAAAGGGATTTGGATGGTTACGTGGAAAATGTGTGGGGTTGGACACGTGCACATGATGGGTCTGTCCTACCCCAATCATCATCATAATTTTCCACCGCTTCTTCCACTGTGTAGGTCCCACCATGCCACCGTCATCATTCTTTTTTTTTCTTCTTTTCTTTTCACCATTTTATTATTTTCTTCTTTATTTCTAACCCCTCTTATTATAATAATAATAATTATTATTATTATTATTATTATTATTATTATTTAGAAGAAGAAAAAGAAAAGATGAGCAAATGGAGTCAAGAGTAATGATGTTAATCTTAATTTCAACGTTTTTGATGTATTATCATCATTAATCTTCCTTTTTTTTCTCCCTTTTAAATAAATTAAATAAAAATCAAACTTGCAATTTATGCATTTTTTAAACTTTAATATATTAGAAAATGCTGATTTTAAGACTTGAACAATCAGACGAACCCCGAATATTTTTATTCAAATATTTTTCAATTATTCTCTTATTTTTCTTTTCTACCCATTTTTGTCCTTTTCACTTTTAACCATTTTTGACAAAAGTGAGGCTTAAAGGTACTTTTTAATTCTTTCTTAATTGCTATATTTATCACGACCCGACTCAACTTAATTTACAAATATACCCCTATTTAACTTAGGTAAGTTTTGGATGGCTTTAATATGAATTAAATTATATTAAGATTTTCTTTAATCATGATATTTAAAGAAAACAAAGACTTTATTTTAAAGTGAGGAACAATAATAATTAACCGTACTAATTTAAAAGAAAAATAAATAATATAATTAGTCCTACAATGAAGCTACCCACCCAACACACACAAAATCTAAGGCTGGATTCAATAATTGAGACCCCAAGAGCGTCCAAATTAAATTAAATTTATTTAGAAAAAATAAAAGTTTAAATATATTATTAAAATCAGCCCCCACACGTGTCGTGCCTCCGTACACGTGATTTATAATGCCGTTTCTTTTTTTTACCCCGTTCCGCCACACGTGAGTTACTAGACCCCTTTTGATTAAAAGCTGGTTTAGATTGTAAAGCCCAAATCAAATCATACTTAATCCCAAGTTTTTTACCTTTACCGACCAAGTAAAATTAAAAATTACTCAAAACAGATAAATAAATAAATATATTTATGTATATTAATACGCTTAATTTTATTAAAAAAATTAATTACTTTTCTTATTAATATCATTTTTTTTTAATTTTTAAAATACATTTATACCTGTTTTAAAATTAGTATTAATATTGCTTAATTTTATTAAGAAAAGTTTTAAATATTTTAATGTTATTTTTTTAAATCAATCTTTTATATACCATAGAGCAACATGAACCCGAGTGGCTTACTGTTTGTACATTCAAAGTCGTTGGTTGTCTCTCCTACGACATGTAGTCCTCCGTTGAACGTTAAACTTGAATCGAGATATTGTTAACGTCTCATTACAAATAAAACCGTTCGTCTTCCGTTTTCGTTTCTCCCATCTCTGTATATTACACTCTCAAACTGCAAGGGAAGTTTGAAGAGGATGGATTGTTGCATGAGGAGCATTTCGTAGGCATCGTGGGTGGTTGGACGTACGAGATCTCCAATAGCTCTATCAGAAATCTCACATTTCTCAATGACTCATTGTTTTTTTTTTTTTTTTTGTACCGCTTGAATTCATTCGAGACGTGAGCAAAACCCAAATTGGCGAAGAATATGGTTCGTGGGTTTCCTTTATTGGAACTATGTTTCTATTTATTTTTGTTTCGAATTGGTTAGGGGCTCTTTTACCTTGGAAAATCATACAGTTACCTCACGGAGAGTTAGCCGCTGGATCTCTCGGTTCGAGAAATCAAAATAAGAGGATCGAACCATTTCTTCTGACCCTTTTTCAAATTTGATAAATGTTGGTTGATCGTATATTTCATTATAGTTTTATGATTCAGAGGTATACAAAAGGCTGGTATATTTCTGCCAGCACAAAAAATATTTATACTTAAAACTTCAATTAAAAATGAAATAATAATAAATTAATATAATCTATCAGAATCTAGAATCTAAGACGGTGCCATATGTGTATTTCTTTGTCTTCATATACCATATAAGATACGGTCAATATAGGAAAAATGTAGCAGAGAATTCTTATCAATAATAAAGAAAACAAGAGTAAAGTCGCATTACACACAAATCAAAGAAAAAAATAGGTAAATAGAAGATTCAAGAGGCCATCGAACGGTGCGCTAATTCTCTGAGTCCGGTACCAACGGGTATCATTCCTCCTAGAACAACGTTCTCTTTCAGACCTCTCAACTAATCGATACGACCTTGGAGGGCGGCTTTTGCTAAAACTCGAGCAGTTTCTTGAAAACTTGCTTCCGATATGAAACTTTGAGTATTTAGAGATGGTTTTGTTATTCCCAATAGTACGACTCGGTAACAGATCGCTTCTTTCAAAGCACGCCCTGTTCGTTCAGCTCGCAACAATTCATGTTACTAACCATAAATATATTTTTAAATTTTCAATATTAAATTGAAGATTATTTTAAGAAGGTAAATAGTAAAGAATGGCATTTAAAAGTTATGGGATTGGAGGAATTATATTATCTCTCTCTCTCTCTCTCTCATAGTTTTAGGGTTCCACCTTTATGGCAAAAAGTAAGAGAGAGAAAGAAGAGGGCACCGAAAAGCATAGAGAGGTTATGATGAAAGCAAGAGAAAAAAAAAACACGACCAGATATGACTGCCCAATTCTCTGATACTCACACTTACCCAGCTGCACTTGCCAGCAGTCCCAGTCGCTGTTGCCGAGCAACTGCCGAAGAATTCAAAGCAAAAACATGCCCTTCCCTCAAGTCAACCTCGCCCCATCATTTGGTCTCTCCTTTCTTCCCTTCCTACTCTCTCTTTCTCTCTCATCACCACCTCTCCATGCTATTAGAATATTGTCTCGTTTCTTATAAATAATGTTTTATGAAGCTTATTAGATGAACACGACTCTCTATCATCGCATTCTATTGTCTACTTTGATCATAAATTCTCTTGCCTTTTCTTTAGGTTTTCTCAAAATGCCTCTTACTAATGAAAATTACTTTCTTTGATTCATGATCACTCCCTAAATTAACCGATGTGGGACTTTCATTATCCAACACCTCCCCTCGACACTCCCTAAATCGAGGCTCGACTCCTTTTCCTTTTGGAGTCATTTGTTCGTCATTTGAGGCTTTACCCATCTATTGACACGACTAAGTTTAGGGCATGACTCTGATATCATGTTAGATGAACACAACTATTCACAATAGTATGATATTGTCCACTTTCAAACCATAAGCTCTCATAGGTTTGCATTGAGTTTCCCAAAAAGCCTTGTACCAATAGAGATCTTTTTTTTTAAATTAGCGAATGCGGAGCTTTCGAATAGTCTCCCCTTTTCTTACTTTTTGTCTATATATTAAGAGTTCGCTTGTTTTCATATGAATCTTCTCCCATGGGATTAACCATGAAGCTTCATCACTTCTCCCCTTGTTCTTGGGATGAGCCCTCTCTCTCCCTTGCTTGCACGAAGCGCTTACGTCCTCCTCCGCCCACCTCCGCCACTTCAACGCTCACCGCTTTCGACCTCAAGACCTTCATCAGGCCTGATACTAAGAAAGACTCGTCTTACCCTCGAGTAATTAACGTCTATTAATCCCTTGTGTTTTCTTTTCGGTGAAAATTATTAATGACTCATGTTGGTTTGTGTAGACAGGAGTTGTGGAGATGCAACCAGGGGGCACGCGGTGGAACCCGACGCAAGAACAAATAGCGATATTGGAGATGCTTTATAGGAGAGGAATGAGGACTCCCAATGCTCAACAGATTGAACAAATTACTACACAGCTTGGGAAGTACGGGAAGATTGAAGGAAAGAATGTGTTTTATTGGTTTCAGAATCATAAAGCTCGAGAGCGACAGAAGCAGAAGCGCAATACTCTTGGTCTTGCTCACTCCTCCCCAATAACTCCGACGACGACAACAACGACAACCATCGTCACGCCCATCCCCTTGGACCCATCGGTAAGATCGTCATTTACCATAGTTTTGTAATGAGTTATGGTATATTTTGTTAGTAATCTCGACCGTACAGAATAGTATGATATTGTCCACTTCGAGCATAAACTCTAACAACTTTTTTGGTTGATAACCTCGTAATTAGCCAATATAAGACGGTTTCTTTCAATAATTCTCGACATATTTAACCGTATGTTCGGGGGTTTTGCAGGGAGGGGAAGATAGCCCGTACAAGAGGAAGTGCATGAACTGGGGGTTTGAATGTTTGGTTGAAGATAGAACTCTGGAGTTATTCCCTTTGCACCCAGAAGGCAGATGATGAACATGCAGCTTTTTTTTCTTTTTTTTTTTTTTTCT